ACTTTAAAGAAGGGAAGGAACTTGTCTGTTACACAGGAAATAAAATGGTTGAGGGCAGCGACACGGCCAGTAAGCCTTTGAACTTCTTTAGCCGTTCTGGGAGACTGCATTTCTACCAAGGCCTTGATCTTTTCGAGGTTGGCCTCAATACCCCGTTGACTGACCATAAAACCCAGGAATTTCCCAAATCCAATGTCGAAGGCACATTTCTCGGGATTTAGCTTCATTTGATACTTACGTAGGGTGCCAAAGGTCTCCCGCAGGTCTACCAGATGATCAGAGGAGAGTTTGCTCTTGACTAGCATGTCATCGGCGTACACTTCCATGTTCCTACCTATCTGGTGATGAAAAACGACATTGACTAATCGTTGGTAAGTTGCTCCGGCATTTTTCAACCCAAATGGCATGACACGATAGTGGTAAGTTCCCCGGTCAGTGATGAAGAAGGTATGTTCTTGGTTAGACGGGTACATCAGAATTTGATTGTAGCCAGAAAAGGCGTCCATGAAACTGAGCATTTGATGTCTGACTGTAGCGTCGACAAGCAGATCTATGCGAGGATGGGGATAACTGTCTTTGGGGCAAGCTCAATTGAGATCGGAGTAGTCGACACAGAGTCGCCATTTACTGTTGTTTTTTCGGACCAAGAGCACATTTGACAGCCATCTAGGGTAGTCTACGTTCTTGACAAATTGTGCCTCCAGTAGCTTATCCACCTCAGAAGCAATAAGAGCGTTGCGTTCTAGATAAAAGATGTGCTACTTCTGGCAGAAGGATCGGAAATGGGGCTCGATGCTCAGACGATGAGTGACGAAGGAGGGATCGATACCCGGCATGTTGGAATGGGTCCAGGCAAACACATCATTGTGCTCGGTCAGGAGGGTTGTAAGGTCGGCCTTGGCTTAGGGGGATAGTTGGCTATCGATCTTGGCTGTTTTTGTTGGGTTGGTGGGATCGATGGGGACTTCAACAAGTTCTTTCATTGGTTCCCCTCTGACTAACTCATTTTCGTCTCTAACGTCGAGTCCTTCAATGATCATGGTCTCCTTCAGCTTGACCTCTTTGAGTGAAGCGATGTAGCATTCTCTGGCCACAGTCTGCTCTCTCCTCACAGTGCCGACTCTGAGGTCGATAGGAAATTTCATGGCCAGATGGTACGTGGATGTGACAGCTTGAAAAGCATTAAGGACGGTGTGACCGAGGATGATGTTATAAGCAGAGGGACCGTCGAAGACGAGAAAAGTGAGCAACTTAGTGGTCTGTCGTACGTATTCTCCAATGGTGATGGGAAGATCGATGAAGCCTATGAAGGTCACCCGGTCTCTAGTGAAGCCAACCAGTGGGGTTTGGAGAGGGGACAAACTTTCTTCCCCGACCTTAAGCCGATGATAGGCGTTTAGGAAGATGACATTTGAGGAGCTACCGTTGTCGACAAGCACCCGTCTGACTTTGTAATTGGAAATGAGAGCAAAAATGGAGAGGGGGTCGTCATGGGGATAATGGATGCCTGTGCAATCAGCATTCGTAAAGGTGATGGGCTTCATCCACTGCTTGGGGTGTTTGAAGGGGCGGTTTAATGTTGCAACTTGTTTATCTGAGCCCTGCCTTATTTTTCTGAGTTCTCCCCGTTTTGTCGAACAGGATGGTCCTCCATAAGCAAGCCTGCCAGCAATAACTCTAATCTCTCCAACCGGGGGGGCAGGGTTGCCTTCCGCCCGGGGTTGCTGTGGGGGCCAGTCATGGCCTTGGTTAGGTTGTGCAGGTTGTCGAGGAGGGGTGCACCGGTGGTTGTTTCTGGTAGGTTCGGTCCTTGGCCGTTGCTGAGGGCGGGCTACTGTGAACCGACTGAGACACCCCTAGCGTAACAAGCCCTCGACCTGTTCTTTAAGGTTAACACACTCCTCGGTATTGTGATCGTAGTCCTGATGGAAACAGCAGTATTTGGACTGGTCTCGACGGTTGGAGGGAGACCGCGACAGTTGGGGCCATTTTAAGGAATAATCTCGTTGGATCTGGTTCAAGACTTGTTCCATGGAGAAATTAAGGGGTGTGTACCATTCGAACAGGCCAGACGGTCGGATAGGTGCCGACCGGTCAGCTTGAGCAGGTCGGTCGGTATACTGAGGTGTTTGCTATGTGTACTGGGTGCTTCTGATTTCAGGGTCCTTTCTCTTCTCTCTGGGGGTTGGGTTTTTGGTTGTGGAATCTTGTCGGGCGGTTAGGGAATCTTCGGCGTTCATGTGTTTTTGGGCTTTGGAGAGGAGAGTTGCCATAGATGTTGAAGGGTTTTTGGAGAGGGAGAAAAGGAAATCGAATGATCGTAGACCGGCCATGAAAGCCGTGAGAATGATGTTGTCATCGTTTTCCGCCACTTGCAAGGCTTCGATGTTGAAGCGGGTGACGAAGCTACGCAGGGACTCCCCCTCTGTTTGACAGATGTTGAGGAGTTAGGTTGCCGAACGCCGCTAGCGTTGGGCACCAATGAAGTGGCTGAGAAAAGAGTCACTTAGGTGCTGAAAAGTAGAGATAAAGTTTGTCGGCAGCTGACTAAACTAGAGTCGGGCCGACCCCTTAAGTGTTACAGGGAAAGCCTAACACATGATCTCATCAGGGAATGCATGGAGGACCATGAGAGTCCTATAAGTCTCCAAGTGGTCGACTGGGTTCGTTGTACCGTCGAAAGAGTCGATCGAGGGCATTTTGAACTTAGGAGGTAGGGGTTTGTCCCTAATGGAGGTAACAAATGGTGAGTTGGCTGTGGTGGAGGGTTTATTCTGTATGTTCTGCATGACTCCTTGAAGCTGGAGTTTCATGGCTCGAAGTTCGGCATCCCAATGGGGAACGTTGTCACCGCCAGAATGCAATGGAAGCTGGACACTACTGGCCTCTCCCTCGAGGACAGGCGCTTGGAACGATGGGTGTGGGGCCCAAGGTGGTGGATTCATTTCTGGAGGAGGGGGTCGCAAGCCCTCCAAGTTAGATGGTTGGGATTGTTTGGATGGGTGGCTTGGGGCTCGTTTTCGGTTGGGTGGTATATCTTGAGGTGGTGGCGGAGGTATGGGGAGGTCTCTTTGAAGCAAAGCATTAATCAGGGCTTGGTTTTGCTCGACTCAACGGTTAATACTGTTGGTGAGTTCTGTGAAATACGGCGGTGGGTTGTTTAGGTTAGGAGGGTTAGCTTGGGGGTCAACAACATTGTGTTGAAAGGCCATGGATCTAGTTGTGACCATCCACCTGGGTGGGTGGCAAGTAAGGATTATCGGGAATGGGTCTTCGGCGACAATGAGCACAGTTACCACATGGAACAAAAGGGTTCCCACAGACGGCGCCAACTGATGTTACTGCGTACTCCAGAAGGAACAGGCCGGGTCAATCCACGCTTCTTAAACCGTTGTCCGATTGATGATACCCACAAAGAAACCTGCAAAAGAGTTCAACGGGGAATGGGGAGTCCCCCAGCAAACCCTCCGACGAGCAAGTTAGAGAGGTGAGAGTGGTGAAGATGTAGAGAGAGGATGGAGATAGAGAACTTAACCTTCTCCTTGTCGTCGAAGCCTGCTTATATCCTTTGTTCATCACTTCCTTGTCCACTTGGAGCTGTCATGTTGGCCGAAAGTCTATGTTCTAGCTTGCCTTGTTCATGGTGAGGCTGTTATGTTACGACGTGAAAGGTTATCGTAATAAATGCTGCAGGGAAACTCATTAATGGCTGATGTGTGGTGCAATAACTCTGTAGGATCTTTGTCTGCTGAAGTGGCTGGTTCTTCACTTGCCAAGTGTTTAAATGTCATTGGTGCTTGGTGTAACGTTGGGCTTCAAGAATGTTGGGTTTTAGTATTTGAATCATGGACTGGACCTTAAATGGTGAGCCATGTCCTTTATGGGCCCACCCATGTCAACTCCTAATCTTGTTACTGTTCAGGTTACTGTTATAACTAATCTTATTTGGAAAGGATCTTATTTGGAAAGGAAAGGCATAACGAAGAAAATAAAGTAATTGAATTATGACTGGATGGAATTTGATTTCTCATTTCTTCATCTGAACTACTATTTATAAGCACTACCGTCCTCATTTACAACTTCTCGGCCATCTAGTAATAGTTTAAAGGTTTATAACTGTTTTGCACGTCCTCATAATTATTTCGGTGTTGTCTGGTTCAGTTAGAGGGTTCAGGTTTGTTGTTTGTTTGCATGTCAAGTGTTTCCTGTGCTTTATGAATTGCATGGTCTTCGTGTTCTGGTTTTGATGTTAGTGTTGTTAGTGTTGCCTATGCTAGGTTTGGCCTGAGATTAGCATGTAAAATTGGAGGTAAAGTATAAAGGTGCTAAGTGTGATTTACCCAATAAAAAAACAAAATCAAAGAAATCAAAACCTAATTTTTGAAATTCTGAAAACCAAATAAATTAACACATTAGGTCAATTGAATCTCATATTGACCCTCTTTAGCCCTCCATCTATTGAGTACTAAATTGAATGTACTTGTATACACACACATACACAGAAGAGAGAAGAGAAGGCAATCAGGCTTATCTTTTCGTAAAATGTCAAAAATCTCTCTACTTCTGCATATCTTTTCATAAAAACCAAAAAATTACTAAAATAACATATTTCCAAACAAGCAACACTTCCATATCCAAAAGAAAATTTTTCAAAAAATATCTACAAAAAGAAATCAATGGTCTATATTTATTAGAACTTGCTTGCTTTGGGACCAGGGCTTTCCTTGCTTCTATCTTGCATGGACAACGTATCTCTTTTCATCAGAGGCTGGGGAAGCAATGCCATACCTTTGAATTTGGGACACTAAGAGCTCAATCTAAACCAACCTGCAACTCCAGAAACCGGAGCTAGATCTCAATGGCACCCCTCCCCACATCCCATAAACTTTAAATCTACACCACACTCACTTTGAGATTAAAATTCAGATAAATTTTCATAATCCATGGCATTTTTGTTAGTTGAATCACACAAACTTAATTTAACTACTCTCCGATAAATATACATCCATGAATCCATGCAATCTCATACACAAAATTTGGAAATATATATTATACAAGCATTCTACAAAATAATAATAATAATAATAATAATAATAATAATAATAATAATAATAATAATAATAATAATTTGCTTACATATTCCACTACACATGTTCTCACATTAATTGCATTGGATATTCCTTGGGATATAGAGAAATTTACCAACCATCCAAGTGCCTAAAGTTATTTACTCCTTGGGTCGAATGATAGCACATTTCAGAATAAGCCCACTCTTCCAGTCACCATGTTCCTCCATGGAGAATTCAACACTTCCAACGTTTTCTGGTGACATTATAAACTCACCCACCAGGATCTCAAACCATTCTTCTACATGCCTTCCTTTTAAACTTTCATTACGTTGCGTTTTTGAACCCGGGAGAATCAAGACAAGCGTCACTGTATAATTTGATATATGAGTATAGTACTCATCGCCACCAATCATCCTCACGACAAAAACAATTTCATACATTGTTCCTGGTGAGAGATCAATTGTTCTATCAAAAACCCCTCTAATATCTAGCCAACTTACCTTTTTTAGCTCTGCCATTTCAATCTCTTCACCACTACATGCAAAACCATGTAAAAGGTTAAAACTGTCCATGTTTGGAAAAGAAGAAAACAAAAAGTTTTATAACCACAAATATCCCCATATCCATTGTAAACGTATTTTTTCCTGTAAAATAAGAAAAACAGTTTGCCCATTTCATCAACAAATGTTCCTTGAAGAAGTAATTCATAGTTAGGCCCTGTGTTACTTGAAACATAGATCATTCCAATATGTTCCAATATGTGAATCAGAAACGCAAATGTGGGATGATAGAGTAAACGTCTGTAGATTATGCTATTAAAATATGGTACTTCCATAGAAATTTTTTTTTAACAATTAGACATCCAACAAACTATAGCCCATATATTTTTTTAAATTGATCATGTAAAAACATATTTCTACGAGCATTTTGATCCCTTTTTTTTTTTTTTTTTTGTCATTCCAAAACTCCACTCTCCCTAGATATTATTCATTATAATTAGTCTTTTTCTTTTTAAGGAAATTGTTAGGTTTTTATTCTTGGCAATCCCATTTAACAAAACTCCTTTCAGTTGTACTTGTATTCGCACTTTTATTTCAGTGAGGTTATAAGTTTTTAGATGCGAATCCAACTCGAATTGTGCCTTGCAAAGAAGTTTGTGGTGTTAATTCTTTCGTATTTGCCACTTCGCTGACTATGAAGGGGATCAAACTGCTCGGTCAGCTTGCAGGGGTCCAGGGGGCAGCACCCCTTGGCGGGTCCGAGGCAGCACCACGGCAGGATTGAGGGGCAACACCCCCGAAGCAAAATGCAAAAATGCATTCGAAGTTGCTTGTCTGCTCGAGCAGCCGTTTGTGTGCTCGAGCAGAGAATGTTTGGTTCCAGAAATTTGATCAATCTGCAAAAGTACTGGAAGTTGGGATTTTACGCTTGAGCGAACTTTCCTACGCTCGAGCGAGATTTGCTTGAGAGGCCATTCCTGCGCTCGAGCGGAGATCGCGGAATAGATTGCTATAAATATGTGTTTCAGTCAGATTTTAGGGTTACTGCTCTCAGATCTTCTTTAAGGGTTCTAGGATTTTCTTTTAGGGCTATTTTGCTAGTTTTCTTTGATGTTTGATTGAGTATTCAACTCATGGTTTAAGAAGTATACATCAAAGGATTGTTTGCTTATTCTATACAAAAGAGTGTTCTTCTTCAGTGGATTCTAGGGAATTCGGGATTGAAACTTTGGTGGATTCCAAAGTGGCTCATCATCGTGATTCGACATCGGCGTTGTGGATTCAACGTTGGGCAAGACAGTTCCGAGGCGAGACCGTGGTAAAAGAGGCATATAGGAGTCGGTTCAATTCGGGCGTGGATTCGCTAGATAATTGAAAGTACACTTATGTAATTCCTTTTGTCTTCTTAGTGGATTGTTTTGTGATTTTGGCCTGTGGTTTTTTATCACAATTGGAGACACTCCAATCGTGGTTTTTCCACGTTAAAATCATTGTGTCGATTTGTCTTGATTGTTTGATTGGGATTGGTATTTACTGCTTTAAATTGATACATAATCACAAATCAATATCTAGGGGATTTCTAAATTTTTTAGAAATAAATTTAGGATTGCTTTGAATTGCTAAATTCACTATTTTCGAAAGAAAGTAAAACATATTTTGGGACCCATGTTCCTAGGAATGGAACTAGGAAAATACTATGAAGGGCCATGGCCCCAAGATATTGATTTGTGATGATGTTTCAATTTTAAACAATGAATAACAATCCTAATCAAACAATCAAAAACAAAACGACACAACGATTTAACATGAAAAAATCACAATTGGAGCACCTCCAATTGTGATAAAAAAAAGAAAAAAAAAAAAAAGAGGGTCAAAGCCACAAAACAATCCATTAAGAAGACAAAAAAGAATTACACAAGTGTACTCTCAATTACCTAGCAAATTCACACCCGAATTAAACCGACCCCAATGTGCCTCTTCCACCACCGTCTTTACCTCAGAATTGTCTTGTCTAACGTTGAATTCACAAAGCTAATGTCGAATCCACGGCGATGAGCCACTCTGGAATCCACCAAAGTTTTAGGCTCAAGTTCCCCAGAATCCATCGAAGAACAACTCTCTCTTTTGTAAACGAAACAATAATAACAACCCTTGATGTTCGACAATTTGAAGTTCATTGATCAATCAATCACCTTTTATACATCAAGGAAACTCATATAAAATAGCCTCCAATATAAAACACATTGTTTTTTCATCCTCTCTAAAAATCTGGACGGCTGAAACCCTAAAAACAGTGAGCAGCGCACTTTATAGGAATCAGAATCGCGCAGACCACTAGAGCGCACATTTCACCACTCAAGCAATGTGACTAAAGGCGGTGCGAAACATATAGGTTGACCTCTCGAGTGGTAAAACTTTCTTCCTAAAAGTTTAGGCGCTCTGCAAAATACTAGATGATCTTTTTCTTTGCTCAAGCGCACAAATGACCGCTCAAGCAGTCAAACAATTTCGACTACATTTTTGCTTTTTGCTTAGTCAGCGAAGTGGTAAATATGAAAGGATTAAGATCACAAACTCCTATGCAAAGCACAATTTGGGTTAGATTTTTCATCTAAACACTTATAGCCTTACTGAAACAAAAGAGCAAATAAAATTACAACTGAAATGAGTTTTGTCAAACGAGATTGTCAATTACAAAAGCCTAACATTGCATTCTCTTTTTATTTTCTAGCAAAAAATTTCATCATTCTATTAGAGATTGATTATATGATATTTGAATTTTTTTTATGTGAATATGTAATTTATATGTGGTATTATACATACATGTTTGTTTGTCTATATGGTAAAAAACAATTATTTATCTTTTGGTCTCTACAGTGAAATCCTGGTTTCATCCCTACATGTTCCAAAACATAAATCGCTAGAGTATTAGCATTTTCTAGTAACATTGATTAAGCCCTATTGCTTCTTATCATGCCATCGATCAGTTTCATTGATTAAACTTTAAGTAGCCTTAAAGATAGCAATACATGAAGTTCTTAAGCTATACATATTATTTCACTTACCTCATCTTCTCTTTGGTCCATTTCCAATAACGAGAATCATCAATCCAACAGATATTAAGTTTCCTTGCAAATAGCATGAAGCAATTCTTGTTCGTCTTCTTGTCAACAAAATACTTCTGCAATTGTAGTATCGAAAACATGCATGAACAACAATAAATAATGACAACAATGGAAAAATAAAATAAAAATAACGATACCAACTATCCATACTTAAATGTAATAGATAACTGTTCTATTTGCTGCGCTAAGAAGAGGAGTACAACACATGCATAAAACATGACACAGTTGAGAGCACAATTAATTATAGAATTACTTTGAATTTCTCAATTTCAGTCAAAAGTTTAAGTTTATTGGAGAGAAACAAGGAAAAAACCTCTACATAGGTGCTTAATAATCATGCAAACCTTACAGATTTCAAAAGAACATATGTAGAAGATCAAGGTAATTTTCATTGATGACAAGACAGATCTATAGAAAACTTGTCTTACAAAGTTGTCACATTCTCTACTTAATCATAGAATTGAATCCTAAAATCCTCATAAGATTAAATCATACCCCTTAACTAAATATAATCTAAACTATACACATCCTTACCTAAAAATAACAAAAAGACCAAAACACCATTAAAACCCTAGCTTTATTAGTACACGGCGCTTTCAAATAGTTCCTACAATATCATGAACAATACAATTGATATTGGTCCTGTTTGGTATAGTTTCTAACAAGCTAAAAATTGATAATCAAAATGCAAAAGCTACACCAAACGGGACCAATTTGTACATACTCCAACTTATGGTGTTTGTAAACAGTACAACTTGCTATATATACCTATATATATTGTGAAATTATGTCAAGTACCATAAATCATGATCTTGATCATTGACACCCTCTAATAATACATTTTTGTTTACATATTTTCTATTTTGCAGAAAAAAAAAATAAAAACAAAATCATCTTCACATCAAATTTTGAATATAAACAGTTTCTAGATTTATTAAACATAAAAGCACAAGTTTATTTTGGTGGAGTATAAATATTTTATATGTGCACGCAATATTATATATAGGTACATTACATATATTTCATTTCATAGTTAAGGTTCAAAGAATAAATAAATATATCTAGACAATCACTATGAAATATGAAATATGAAATATATACTGATTCTAAAATAATAATAAAAAGTTCCATCAGTTCATCTAAGATGTGGGAGAAAATCTTTATAGACTTGCCAGTTCGTTTTCTTTTAAGAATACTCCAGCGTAGAGCTTCTCACACAGCTTGTCAGGACAAGACGTGTCGATCGTTTTCTTTGCATTATTCAAAATTGATAGGAAATTAAGTGGGGGCCTTGTTTTTCCTTTTTTTGATGCAATTTCCTTTCCTTTCATTGAGTATGTCTTACTGGTTTTTCCACCTTGTTGGATATCTGCAGTCCCACTAGCTGCCATCCTAACCACCTCCAAAAAGAAAAAGGAAATAAGAGGAAGCAAAAAAAGTAACACGACAAAATCAGAAGTGCTATTTCATATTTTAAGAGGCTAATAAACATTAGTATTAAATTAATACTTGATAAAAAAGAAGTAAAATTTAGGACAAAATCCAATTTATCCTGTATAGTACGGCCATGCAAAATACCACCCAATCCGCACCAATCTACCCAATCTACACCGATCCACCCGCGGGGTTAGTTTGAACCATGGTTTGAAATTTATAATTCGCCTTCAAAACAGCTCTGTTCTGCTATAGTTAATACATATGTTTTTTTTTTTTACCTCTAATGAAATATTGAAGTAAAAACCAGTGTCAGAGTGATTTAAGATGTGGAATTTGTTGAAAATTAATGTCATATATATATATGAAAAATATGTAAACTTAGTTAGTGTTATATATATATAAAAGATATTATGCAAATTAGTATTATGCATTATGCAAATACTTGATAATTGTTTAAAATTATTCTTCAATCAACTAATAAATTGAAACCACCCAAACCGTTCAAATCGCAGTTTAGTTATTTGCCAATTCGCCGTTCATAATTTCATATATCATTTTACCCTCAAACTGCACCGAGAACACCCCTACCGTATAATATGGCCAGAACACTTAGCACCTGTGTCATAGGTTTTTTTTTTTTTTTTTTTTGATGAACGGGTATCCGAGGCAACTTACGCGTACCTCAACTATGATAATTGTAAGGGTGTGTGATATGTGTTTGATATCCGTACACAATTGAAACAGACCATCTAATTTTTTATGATGTTTGAAGAAAAAGAAAACCCACATTAAACATTTCTAATCTCTCACATGACTGAGAGATCAAAATTCTATATTTTTTGTAAATCCTATATATTTCAAGTATATTTCTACATAATTTACAATATCTTGTCTAAAAATATGATACAATATGTAATATAAGCAAGTGTCCATGACACATCAGTGCACCCATATCTAAGTTTTGGATACATATCCAAATATCCTAAGTTTTAGGTTTATGAAGGTTTGGTGCTAACCATTGTTTTAAAAGGCATGCTTATGCGCAGCGCAATGAGGTGTAGCCTTGCGCTTCAAACAAATCGAGGTGACTTGCAATACGCAAGGCGCAATTTAGGCGCTGAGGCGAGTGCCTTTTTTTTAGACATGGGTTTCATGGGCTTTACCTATTTTTCTACCACAACTTTTGATCAAGTGCTTTTTTTGTAGGCATACCCACAAGGAATCAAAACTCTTCAATATAAAATGAGCAAACGTAATCAAAAAAGAGCAGAAAGTGATTAAAAAAAAAAACCTAAGTGGAGAAGATTAAAAAAAGCGATCAGAAAGTGAGAAAATGACAAGATTTATGCTTCTTCTTCAAGTTCTTCTCTTCTTCTCGGTGGTTCTCTTTCTCTTCTTCTCTTCTTCAATGGGTTCTCTTGGTTGTACTGTCTCTCTATCTTTGTTTTTTCTTCCTTTATTTTTTTCTCTTCTTATTTTCTTTTTCTCTTCTTCGATGGATTCTCTTCATGGGTCTGCCTCTATTTTTTCTTTCCTTATTTTTCTTCTCTTCTTCTTTTCTTATTTTATTCTTCTCTTCTTCTTTTCTTCTCTTGCTTCTTCATTGAGTTATCTATTTTTTTTCTTCTATATTATGCTTGTGAAGCTTGCTTTATAATTTTTGGCATTACACATATATTTGTTATGTTGAAAAGTTTGCCTATTTTATAATTTTGCTTTTCTTATACTATTTGTGTCTCGCTTTGGTGAGGCACACGTCTCGTCTCGTGCCTTGCACTTAGGTTATAGGAGACCTTATCACCTTAGTGCAACTAGAGCATTTTAAAACACTGGTGCTAACCCCTAAGACACACATCGCACAGTCGCACCCAATAGTCATACCCAAGTTCATGTAATATAAGAAGTCCATGTTAACATGGCTACTATTAAAAATTCCATCCAAATTCACACACATATTGAGGGTTGACAAGAATTTTTATTTTTTAGTCGAAGTCAAATTCTAATGCAAAGGACATTATTGTCTGTGTCTTTATCTTCTACACCTCTAACCCATGTGAAAATCCACTACAAGAAAAAGCACTTTCCGTGACCAACATTTTGGTCGCAAAAAGTACCATATTTGGTCGCTAAAACCATTTCGCGACCAAAATATGTTGGTCGCTAAAGCCTCGTGACAGTTAGTTTTCTGTGACCAAAAAAGCCTTTGGTCGCTAAAAGTGACCATTTGCGACCAACTTTTTTGGTTGCAGAAAGTCCAATTCATATTAGCCAAAAGGGAACTTTTAGCGACCAAAGATAAGTTGGTCCCCAAAAGTAAGCGCCTTGACCCAAAAAAAATAATTCTTTTGTGCTGCTTGGGACTTGAACTCCTAACCAAGGAGTCACCATGCACCCAATCCACTCTGCTAATAACATGCTTCTTGTTCATATTTGGCAGAAAAATTATACAACCCATAAAAATCGGGTTATATATTATTTTATAAAAGGGGGATGCACCAATAAATCCCAAATTAATAACTTATGCACTGTTTAGTCCTAAAAGTTTTCTTATAGACTGAAAGGTCCCATTACAATGTTAATAACATCAGATACAATGTTAATAACATCAGAGTCATGTTACAAACATTAGATTTCAAACATCTAATGTTCATCAAATTTCAATAATGTTTGAAAATATAGGATGAAAAACATCTAATGTTCATCAGATTTCAATAAATTTTGAAATTATAGAATGAAACATCAGATCATTTACATCATTCACATCATGTTGATGTAAAAATGGGACTAAATGGAGCATAAGAAAACTTTTAGGACTAAATGGTTCAACGTTTCAAAAACTAGGACTTATGGGTAAATTTTCCTTTATAAAACTTTTAATGCCTAAACAGAAAAATAACATGTAATTACTGTAGTATCCTTTTTTTTAAAATTTATCCTGCCATAACTTTCCGCGACCAACTTTTTTTTTTGGTCGCCAAAGGGTAATCTTCTGCGACCAAAAAAGCCTTTGGTCACCAATAGGTATACTTTCCGCGACCAACTTTTTTTTTTTGTTTGCCAAAGGGTAATCTTCCGCGACCAAAAAAGCCTTTGGTCGCCAATAGGTATACTTTCCGCGACCAACTTTTTTTTTAGTCGCCAAAGGGTATACTCTCCGCGACCAAAAAAGCCTTTGGTCGCCAAAAGGTATACTTTCCACGACCAAAAAAGCCTTTGGTAGCCAAAGGGTATACTTTCCATGACCAACTTTTTTTTTTTGGTCGCCAAAAGGTGATCTTTCGCAACCAAAAAAGCCTTTGGTCGCTAATAGGTATACTTTCCGCAGCCAACTTTTTTTTTTGGTCGCCAAAAGGTGATTTTTCGCGATCAAAAAAATTGTGGTCGCCAAAAGTTAAATTTTAGTCGCAAAAAGTGGACTATTTGCGACCAAAAAAAATAGGTGGTTGCCAAAAGTGTTTTTTCTTGTAGTGATCCCAACCCACTCCCTCTACGGCCACCTCCAACCACTTGAATTACTAATGGACCAAAAATTTCATCCTTCAACTAAAGCAAGATGAGAACTTCCAAATGGCTTATTCGCGGATACTATTGCTAATTTTTCCATCACAACAAAGTCATCCATCAGATCTCTGCCAAAAGTACCAACAAATTTTCTTAATTGTATCCCCACTTGTTTTCCATTTCTGAAATGCTCTAATTCTTAAATGAAAGCAAAAGCCCAGGATGCACAGCTAACCTGTTCATTTTAAAAATCATACTTTTTTTTTTTGGGATCAGCAAAAAGAAAATTTATTGATGTAATTAACTAAGGTACACCCAAAACATCCCAAATTACATCAAAATTGTTTACGTACAAATGCATCATGGCAAAACAAACCCCATCCCAACTAGGTTGCCACAAGGAGAGACGTTAATCAGAGGAGACTTACGAGAGTTGCAAGGGGCCAACTAGACTACCCCCAAATTAATTGATTCCATAATAAAATGATACAGACATAAAAAACAAACACCAACACCTCAAAGCTAGAAGAAATATCAAGCATGATAAGCTCTTCTTCAGTATCCATCCGAGCATACAAAAAGCCTCGAAAGCTAGCCCCAAACTAATTTTGTTGGCAATAGACACGATAAGGTTTCAAGAGCTCTTCATCAATATCCATCCTTACTTTTGCTACAGATGCTTTGGCAAAGCATGTTGCTTCTTCCCTTGCACATAGATGTTTGTACCCTGATAGCCCCCCCACGCCCATAGTTCTCATACTATGTTTTCTGCTTTGATGTATTGGAGCCTCTTATATTTAGACATTTTTGTAACTCATATTCCTGTTTAATTAAGTTATTTGTCAAAGAAGTACTGGCTCCTCCAAATCCATCTTTCTCACTGACAACCTCAAGGCAACATTCGGTCACGTCTTCGTCAACCAAATAGTATTAAATCTTTTTTATTTTTCCTTTTAATTTATTTATTTATTTTATTTGTACGTAGGCTGTTAATTTTATACCAGAAAAAGAGATCATAATGATGTTCAATACATAGAGGTGTTTTGAGAAGTTGGTAAAAAGTTAATTTTTTTGACTTTTTGACTTTTTTGGTAGCTTTTTTGGGAGAACTAGGTAAAAAGCCAAAAAACTGACTTTTTACCAAGTTCCCAAATTGCTCCACAATCCTGAGGGTCAACACAACTTCAAAGAAGAGACACCCAAGACACATGCTTGGACGAAATAGTACACCTCACCTACTATGATAAATCTCTCACAACCCGAGAGGCTAGGTGAAACTAACATGCTCATAGGAAAATAAGTTCATCAATAGATAAAACAAATGAAATGGGTAAGAAATAGAAAAATAAAAGCACATCTATCACCCAAATCGCCTTCACAAATCCATCGACACCCATTAACTTGTGTTTATGCTTAGCCCTATAAGGTTACTCGCTATCCTAGTAAGCAGCAAAGTGCCATCCTGATAAGGACCTCTCCTGAAAATCATGTTAAATATTGGCCGCAGTCAAAACAAATCCAAAAAAAAAAAAACACAGAAAAGAAAGTGAAGCGACCTCAAAGCATCCCGCATCAATATACCAAAACTAGCCATAGTCCGAATAGATCCCGAAGCATTAAGTAAATTTATATTAGAACTAGCCACAGTCAAACACTCATTCCAATAGGACAATGGAAAGACCCTGAAATATTAAGCACTCATCAAACAAGAGAATCACGAGGATCACACCCCCCAACCCAAAGCCAAGGAAACTCGACACCAGTACAACCAGATCACCTCACAATATAGCACTGCCCCAATCTAGGGCTTCCACTACATGGCCAAATACAACCCTAGGATTTGGGGGAAAGATGCAGAAACAAGGCCATGGAAATGAAATTAAGGATAATGAGACAGGAAGTCGTACCTTAATGTTGTGTTTAGTTAAGAGATTTGAGAAGGGATTTGAAAAGAAAAAAAAGAAAAGCTATGTGAAACTAGGTGAAATATAGGTATATTTTATTTATATTTCACCTACCTTTTTCTTTTCCCTTTCCATTTTCAAATTCTCCAACCAAATACAGCATTAAAATAGAGACACAAAACACAGCAAAACCACAAACCCATGTTGACAGGGAGGCAATAAAATTTTTAAAAAAAATACCACCAACAACAACACAGCAGCAGAGAAGAAAAGAAAAGGAAGCAGAGAAAGGAAGGACAGAGTGAGTGGAGGGTAAGGGGTCGAAGCGAAGCAGCATCTACCGGAAAGTGACGGCATCAACAGGAAGTGGCAGCATCCCCCTAGATCCATAAACAAAATCTACCTATGGGTAGATGGAACAGAACTGGATACTGGAAATGGCAGAAAAGCCTATTTTTACCAGATTACAGGATGTTCAATTTGTCAAAATGATTAGCAAAAATTGGGAAAGTGTATTATAGGAATTTTTTACCATACACATCCAAGCAAAATCGTGGAATGAGTTTTACTGTATCCTTGTCTCTAAGTCAAGATCAAATCGTATAACGTGAGAGAAAAACATTTGTAGAGGGCTCTCTACAAAATCTATTGTCATGTTGGTCATCTTTACCTCTTTTGACCATGGTTACACCATCACGTGTGAAAGTAGATATACAGATGGATTTCTTGCTTATGTGCTCGCTGGTTCATGAAAAGAAAGTGAGTGAATTGTATAAATTGAAAAACACAAACAAACAAACAAACATCTTTATACTGGTAAGTAACAGGGGAAAAAGATTAGGAGAAACAGCAAAAAAGCTTTTAACATGTTGTTTTGCTTAGGCAAAATTGACTGGATCAAGCAAAAAACAGCAGGATGAGAAGAAAACTACAATCACTGACCTCTGTTGTCTCTAAACTTTGCGATCCACAGGTCACGAATCGCTCAGATAAAAAATTTAGAGATATATAGACGTTATGATCAAACTTGATTGGAAAGAAGTAACGATTGTTTTGCCTGATTCTCTCAAAATCGCTCGGAAATCATGTGGGTGCTTTGGATTGGATGAGTGGTTTGGCGAGGAAGTATAAGAAATGTCCTTTGGTTTATCAATGTGATGAGTAATTGTGGGAAAGATAATTCTCAAAATATACTGTGGGCTGTGATTATAGATTTTTGTATAAATTTAAATATAAAATAAAAAAATTATGTAAAATATGAATAAAATGTAGTTATAATTTATTTGGAAAGTATAAGGGCTATGTAAATATGTGTAAGTTGTTTTTTTTCTTTTTTTTTTGGGGCAAAGAAAAATTCCATTAAAAACATGAAATCACATAACTTAAACACAAGAATACATAAGTTATTTTATAAAATCACATAATTTAAACACAAATTTGCATAAATTAACTCATAAAAATTTGAGATATCATAATTTAGTGTTAGTTTTTACAAACATACGTAACCCACTTTACAAAATTGTGTAACTTAAATATAAATTCACATAAGTTAACCTATAAAAATTTAAGAAATTATAATTTGGCATAAATTTTCAAATATATACATAAACCGTCTCACAAAATCGCATAGCTTAACACAAATTTGTGTAAATTAACTCATAAATGTGTCGTAAGTTATCATAAAAATGTGTAACTTAAGTCACAAAAATACATAAGTGACATACCATATACTTGCACATTAAAGAATTATCCTATATATATATATATATATATATACATATTTATGTTGAATTACTTGATAGTGATAGGGAGAAAAAAAAATTACAAAAGCATAGGAGTGCAAGTGAATTTGTGATGAGGTGCAAGTGAAATATTTGTGTTTTTTTTTTTCTCTATTCAACTGTTAACTAATTTTCTCTATTTTTTTAAATCTTTATTCAAATTCATGATCCAAATATAATATTAATTTATAATTATTTATTTTTAACAAAACATAATCACTGTGTTTTGTTTCAATTTTCTGAATTCAATTTTCTAAAAATTGAGTTTTTTATTTTTCGTAATTTTTTTAATTTTTAGTGAATATTTTTTAAATTTTAAATATTTTTTTTATTTTTTTAGATGCACCTTACTTAAATGTATCTAAAAAGTAAAATATTTTTAAAAAATCAATAAATGCACAAGAATATGAAAAATATACTGAATTTTCTTTCTTTTTTTTTGTGTGTGTATTTTTGGTATTTAGTGATTTTTTTAAAAGATTTTTCATAAATATTATACTTTTCAAATGTATTTATGTTAGGTGTATCTAAAAATCAAAAAAAAAAATTGCTTAAAATATTTTTTAAAAAAAATTAATAAAAACAAAAAAATATGAAAAATAAAAAATTTCAATTTTTTGAAAAGTAAATTCTGAGTTATGAAACCAAACAAGCTGAATGATGTTGGTGGGTTTAGATTGTAAATTTGGATAGAGTTCAAAAAATAAGAAAAAAATAAAAATAAAAGCTCAGCTTGTTTCGTTATAGTTTTCAGAAAACAGTTTTTAGAAAATTCTACTTTTTTATTTTCTGTATTTTAATGTTTTCAATATTTTTTTAATATTTTAAGCAATTTTTTTTAATTTTTAGACACACCTAACATAAATACACTTAAAAAGTATAATATTTGTGAAATTTTTTTTTAAAAAAAATACACTAAATACCAAAAAATATATAAAAAATATGAAAATTCAGTATTTTTTTCATATTTTTGTGTATTTATTAATTTTTTAAAATATTGTTTCACAAATATTTTACTATTTAGATACCTCTAAGTAAAGTGTATCTAAAAAAGTAAAAGAATTACTTAAAATTTAAAAAATATTCACTAAAAACAAAAAAAAAATACGAAAAATGAAAAACTCAGTTTTCAAAAAATTGAATTCAGAAAACTAAAACTAAACACACTAGTCATTCAATTTTTTTTAAAATTTTTTTTTCAAATTCATGATTTAAATAAAATTTAAACAAATTGATTAGTTGTGTAGTTTTATAATATTGAAATTATCTATTAAAATACAAAAAAGTAAAAGAATTTTCACTCATATGTTAATATCAAGTACTTTCTTTTTATCCAAATATAATTATGACGAAGCATATTTAAAAAAAAATTCACTTAAATAAAACATTATAATCATTTTCATTTTTATTTTCTTATCCTGCATCCGGCAATCCAAACAGGGTGTGTAACTGTGTCTCACTGTTTTGTTTTTTTTTTTTTTTTTTGAACGGTCTCACTCACTGTTTTGTTTGACTTGTTGACATATGAAGTTTTCGATTGTAAAATATATTAGGGTTGTATCAGTTGGGAGATTTAGGGGAAAAAAAAATTAAAAATAAAAAAATGTGCATAAAATTAGATAATTTATTTTTTCTTTGAGAATTTCAAATTTCTTTCAAAATCTTCTAACCAAACACAATCTAGATAATATCCTTTGTGATAACTTGAAATATTTGTGACTTTGTTGTTATAACTTATATTTAGATCTTAATTTATCTTTTTTATTAGTTTTTTTTTTTATATATATATATATATAAGTAGGGGGAAAGGACCAATAATTCTCAAATTTGGAAATGTTAACCCATTTAGTCCCGAAGGTTTTTTGTTGGACTAATAGGTCATATTTCTCAAGAAACTTACTATAGGTCTTTTTATGATTTCCCTTCTTTTCGAACATCAAACATTATTCATCAAACATCAAACATTAGCAACGTCAGGATTATTTATCAAACATCAAACATTAGCAACGGCAAGATTATTCGTATAATGTCGGTGAAAACATTAGCAACGTTAGAATTATTCATCCAACATCAAACATTAGCAACGTCATCAACCATTAAACATTAGGATTATTCATCAAACATCAAACACAGATTCGGAACCATTAAACGTTAGGATTATTCATCAAACATCAAACATCAGATTTATGAGTAACATCATCGAAACAACATCAAACAACAACATCAAACATCAGCATCAAAACAACATCAAACATCACAACATCATCATCAAAACAACATCAAAATAACGATTAAACAATTTTTTAAATAACGATTAAACATCAAAATAACGATTAAAATAACACCAAACATCAAAATAACGATTAAACAATTTTTTCTGATCAAACATCATCAACATAACAATTTTTTTCGATCAAACATCATCATAACAATTTTTTTATCAAACATCATCATAACATCAACAACATCTCAGATCGAATTCGAGCCCCCCCCCCCCCGTAATTAAATCACCCCTCTCTCTCTCTCTCTCATCAATCTGCAACATTCAATAAAAATCGAACAAGCAACGAATTCCCTCAATTCGAACCTCGACCACCAATTTCCCTTCCACGAACCCCGATCGGAGCAAATTGACGACTTCTGAAGCGAAATCAACCCACAATCCGTCCTCGTAACGCATAATCTTCGCAGGTGAAGCGCTTCGCTTGAAAGTCAAGTGGTTTTCAAGCAAGAACTTTGTATAACAACAATCACGAGCACAAGGTGATGATGATGATGAATTCGGAGGAACCCTAACCCTAACAGTATCTACAACGTCCCTCTCATTAAACATCACCGTCGCTTTCGAATTCGATTTCGAATTCGTGAGTTTTGGTTATGAGATATGGCACTGTACAATGAGAAGCTCTTTGTTGTTGTAGCCATGGCGTTTTCGGATTCACGCCTGTTCATTCGTAGATCTGAGCCTCAACTTTTTTGATGGTGTACTTAATGTTGAAGACGAAGAAAAATGGGGAGGCTGCATGTTGTGTTGATGATGATGTTTGATGTTGTTTGATGATGATGTTGTGATGTTTGATATTGTTTTGATGATAATGTTTGATATTGTTTTGATGATAATGTTGTAATGTAAAAAAAGGACTAATGATTATAAAAAAACACTTAAAACTAAATAGAGCAACATTTTTCAATATGAGACCTATGAGTAATTTTTCCTATAAGTAATGTTTTATAAATAAAATTTATGTTCAAAACTTTTATAAGAAATGGATTCTTTCTCGTACAAATCTAATTTCTATGAGAAATGAATTCCCTCCAATACAAATACAAATAAAGAGGGGAGGTATTGTCCAATTTCGTGGGGCATTATGAGCTCTACTTTGACCATATCTAATTTATTTATTTCGCAGGCCCTTACATATATTAGAAGAAGAAAGAAGAAAAAAGACAGTCTAGTTTTGAAATTATTTTATTATTCATTTTTTTTTCCAAAATTAAATACAATAAAATCTTAAAGGGCGTTGGAATAATTTGATCTATTTAATTTATTTTTTATTTTTTTAAGAATGATATATTCATATAGATTTAAAAAAAGAACAATTCAAATTACTAAAATATGATCTGTAGTAAATTTTACAAATTTTAGAAAGCACCTTCTAATCTCATCTCATTTCTATATACAATGAAGTGACTTTTTATGTTCTATTCATTTTCAATCAAAAAATCATCATCATAATTTTACAAATGCCATTGAAATATCATTTTAAATGTTTTCTTTGTATAAATTTTTTAGGACTATTATTAATCACATTTCTTTTCCACCATTTAGTATCAATGGATTGTATGATAAGATATTATTAAGAATAAGGGTAGATACACAAAATTTACATAAAAAAATAAATATGTAGCTCAAATTATTATTTTTTAAGTATAACTCCACTATATAAGAGTAAATATCAACCACGTAATCTATTTATGTTTAAATTTTTGTATTCACATCTTGTGTCTCTAGAGTAAATCTCAGCACATAATCTATTTATGTTTAAATTTTTGTATATACTTTTTGTGTCTCTAGCTTTATGCTATTATCTTGATTCAAGAAAACGAGAAATTTTTTGGTGTCAATAAGGTAAATGTTACATGGTATTTTTTTTTATTGTGATTAAATTTGATAGTAGAATATATTATATTTATGTTGGATGTGTGAGAGACAATAGGGAGTATATGCATTTTTAATTAGTGGAAGGTACTACTTCACAGTGCCACGTGGTACCCTTCTAGCATATAAAAATTTCTCCAAGAAAACCAATATGAGATGTGATATAAAAAGATTACAAAAATAATATGTGATAAGAATCTCTCAAGTTTGCCATCTAATTTGAGAGAGTATTTAGGCTTGATGAACTGATTTTGGAACCAAAAATTTGAGAGAGCATTTGGGCTTGTTGAACTCATTTTGGAACTAACTTTGGTGATACGAATCATTCACATTTTAAAATGTATTGGGTAGAATATATATGCAAAAATAATTAGATATCAGTAATTATATGTTTTAATCACATTTATAAAAAAAAAATTAGACGATAATTATAATTTTAAAAATAACTATTCATTTTTTGTAATACAAATGTAATTCAAATATATACCTATTAATACCCAATCATCTTAATTTTTTACATAAATATTTTAGCTAACGAGTATTAAAAAATAACCCATTCGAATTACTAGATCAACCCCAAAATGGATTCATTCAAATATTCTCTCAAGTTGTTGAAATAACAAACCTGTGGAAATCCAAACTTATATACCATTTCTCTAATTTTTTTTACTTGTAAATCACTTTTTCCTTGTTTGTCTTTTCCTTATCCCCTTGTAAATCCTTGATAGAAACATAACCAGTGTGAAATTAAGAACGAAGAACCGAAGAGATTGAGAGAAACCATGGGGACCGAATTGCACATTACAATTTCATTATTATCAGAGAAATTGCAGAATCTGCTAGCGCTTGCCAAGGGAAGATTTTTAATCTTTCCTGGACTCAGAAAGAGCTTGCGTGTTACCATCAACGAACTCAAACTGATTTTGAGCTTCCTCGAAGTCGAAGCAGAGAATAACACCAGTTGTAACAATTCGCTAAAGGCTCGTCTTCTTCCTACTGTTTACTTTGCAGAACACATCACCGATGTTTTCCTCCTAAATGCAAACAGAACAAGAAGAAGATCAGATGGTGTTAGTGCAGCGTGTCAAATTATTCTTCAAAAGCCATTAATGGTGTTTCCACCACGGAGACAAGTTCAATTCACCACCAAAATGAAGAAAATCGTAAATCATTTCAGAGCTTCCTATGGTGAATTTGCAGATCGGTTAGAAGCACGCATCGCTCACGATCTCACAACCAATACTACACTTGAATTTGATCATCACACACTTAGTCGAGCAATTAAAAACTACCGACCTGATAATGACATATTTGTTGGACGCGAAGATGCTGAAAAAGAGATCGTAGCACGATTGATCGACGAAAACGAGAAAAGCCTCCGCGTGATTTCGCTAGTTGGCGAAGAAGCAATCGGAAAGACAACTCTGGCAAGAAAAGTTTACAACAGACTAGACATTCGGCAGCATTTCCAGTCCCGTGCTTGGCTCCATGTTCCGAAAGAATTTTCATACAAAGATGTACTACTTGTCATACTCAGACAGACTCCAAATTTATTGAAAGACATAGAGCTAATGAAGGAGAACGAACTCTCAATTTTCCTTTTCAAGATTTTAATGGAGCTCAGGTTTCTAATAGTCTTGGATGATATCTGCACCACTGATGACTGGCTCAAATTTGTGAGTCCCTTCGCAGACGCCGAGAATGGTAGCAGAGTCATAATCACTACTCGCCACTCTAAGGTCGCGTCAGAGGTAGATCCGTGGAGTCATCCTCTGAATCTGATGCAGTTAACAGAAGAGGATACTTGGGCATTGTTCTTGGACAAAGCGGAACCAGACAATAGTTCACATAATAATTTAAACAATGTCAAGGCTGAAATTCTGAGATTGTGTCGCGGTTTGCCTATGGCAATTGTCTTGTTGGGAGGCTTGTTGTCGACTGTAGAATTAAGCGAGTGGTCAACAGTCATTGATCATCTCCTTGCTCAGGATCATCATTTCTTAAAATGTATTGTTGATTTGAGCTATGAAAAATTATCATCTAGATTGAAGCTTTGTTTTCTTTATTTGGCTATGTTTCCTAAATCGTATGAGATTCCAACGCGGAGGTTATTGCAGTTGTGGGTTGCTGAGGGGTTTGTTCAAACATCAAATGAACCAAGCATCGACTCTCAAGATATGGCCATGACATGTTTGAAAGAACTAGAGCGAAGAAACATGATTGAAATTGCGGAAAGGAAATCAGACGGAAGCCCCAAGACATGTCGTATGCCGTGTTTCCTCTACAATATCTTCTTACCAAAAGCCGAGGATATAGGATTTCTTCACGTCCACCGTCTCAATTCAGATTGCACAGTTGCAGATTCACATATTATTCGGAGGATTGCAGATCAGTTTCTTGGGGTTAAGTCTACTTCAGAATCTCATACCCAAAATCTATGTTCTTATGTTTCTTTCGAAGCCCAAAAGCGAGTTACATCCAACACAAAAATTGGTAATTTGCTTAATTCAGTAGTCAATAAGGGGAAAAGTTTTGTTCCTTTGAAGGTGCTTGATTTAGAGGGTGTCTACAAACCTTGGCTACCCGAGAAACTCGGCCAGTACTTGAAGAACCTAAGGTACATAGGCTTGCGATGGACCGGCCTATACACATGTCCGGAGTCTATTGGGGATTTGCAATGCCTAGAGACTTTAGATTTGAAGTATACTAATATAACCACTTGCCAAGTTCAATTTGGAAGGCAAAGAGCCTTCGGCATCTCTATATGACCGGGGTGTCCATTCGAAAGCCATCATCGAAAGAGTCTTTGACTTCAACATCCAAACTTGAGACGTTAACGGGGCTCCTGATTGGTTCTAAAGAGGAATCTGATAAAGAAAATGACAACTATCGCCTGGACCGGTTCACAGGCCTAAAGAAATTAGGACTCACTTGCCATTCTAAATCGGTAGATAAAACAGTTGAGTGCATTTCACGACTCGACAAACTTGAAACCTTGAAATTGAGATCAAGAGACCTTCCATTCGGTCAACCTTCAGACCTCGTGTTGAGTCCTTTAAAAGACCATCAGACTCTGTCAAAATTACATTTGTTTGGACTGATAAAAGATGGGATACACAATCTTCCTCTCAATCTCAAAATCCTAACATTGTCGATGTCGGGACTAAGAAAAGATTCGATGCGTGTGCTAGGGAAGCTGCCTCGGCTAAACATCCTCAACCTTTTCACAAGCGCCTATGTTGGGGAGAAAATAAGATGTCTTTCTGGGGAATTTCTCGAACTCCGCGTCTTGAAATTGTGGAAGCTGGAAGATTTAAGGCAATGGACAGTGAGGAAGGGAGCTCTGCCCCAACTTGTGGAATTAGAAATTAGAGGTTGTGATAATCTGGAAAACTTGGAGGGGTTAAAGGAGCTGCCTGAATTGAAAGAATTGATTTTAACAAACATGCCACAAGAGTTTGTAGCAGATTTGAGAGAAAAGTTGGACAGAGACAGAGACATAGTAGTCACCAATGAGTGGAAGTCTTTCCCCCTTGCCTGTAAGTTCAATTTCTTCACTACCATGAAAGTTTTTTTTTTAAAATTAAATACATTCATGTTCGGATTTAGATCTTTTTCATTACAGTTTACACGTAGTTCTGTACTCAACAATAATACATTGAATTGCCAGGCTTTCTATTTAAAAATAAAATAAAATAAAAAATTATTTATGTTTAAACATGAACAAGACCATGGTTTTTGAGAATTGCCGTTATTGGATCATATGTCCAATGCTTACTCTCACTTTTTTCAATCTAATTTGACTAGAAGGTTTGATATGAGACTGAGCACTCCCCTCGGTTTTTTGTCTTTTTTCATCAAATCATTTTTGAAAATTTCCAAACTTATATTTAGACCTATTTTAATTACTTTTTATGAAAGAAAATCAACTCTAATCCTTAGTCTTTTTAAAATTTCATCAAATTTGAACAAAAATACGACAATGATTAGAGATTATGTGAGTGTCTAAAAAGTTTAGACACACTAATTTGATTGCTGAAATAATTAAAAATAATCTAGCACAGTCATAATATTTTCTAATAAAAATCACAATATGTTGTAATTTTTTCCAAAAAAAAAAATATTTGTGACATATACTTACGTTTTTAATGTAGGATTAGTACTTATGGAGGCTGGAGGCAAATCTAGATTGCAGCTTGCTGATGAACTGCTTGAAAGTGAAGACAACCAACCACACTTCTAAGAAAGAAAATACTTATGCTGACAATCTAACAAATCAAGGAATTCTGCTAATAAAAGAAACTCATATTTTTCAACATTCCCCTCCTTGTATTTGTAATCAAATGTTTGATGATGCTTGCTAGGATGGTCTACTATCCTAGAACCTTGTAGCCATTTACTTTTTTTATCCATAATATTACTGCTTTACTGTTACCAAAAAAAAAAGAATGTCCATTTCGCAGCTTGCTGTATTAATACTCTTCACATCACTGTGCTTTTCTTTGTAAAATAAAGTTGCAACTCTGTTTCAATTTGTGTTAGGCTTGATTAAATAAATGAAAATATTATATATAAAGGGAAAATAAGTTAATTTATTGACTTATTAACTTATTTAGATCAAATTAAATCTCTATTTTTTATTATTTTTTCGTAATAAGTCAAAAATCAGCTTATAAGTTTCCTCTCAAAATAACCCAAAAAAAATATTATGATCAAATAGTTCGACATAGACCCATAATAATAGCATAGAGAAGGGTGTCACGCCCTCAAAATAAACCCATTATATATATATCATTGACATGCAATATTAAAAGAAAACAATTCATTATCCCATTCATCAGAGTATTATTAAATAAAAACATTACATGTAATACCAAATTAAATGCCCTACGGGCTTACATTTTTCCAAGCCAACACTTGGACACAAAATATGAGTTCTAACTCAAATACAAATAAAGCCCTAGGCTTGATTATATATCAAATAAAAACAAATAACTAAAGATGGTCTTCAGAATCCAAAAGCTAAATCCTTCCAAGCTAAGTCCTTGGAGGTAGCTTATCACCTGAACCTGAAAATGATGTTCCCATAAAGGGTGAGCCACAGCCCAGTAGAAAAATACTAAACCAAATATAAGCATTGAATAAAGCATTAGCATTCAATAGATGGTTAACCAAGATAATCAATTGTATCATTATACAGTCTCATGACACTAATGTCTAAGACACATTTCACTTTCCATTATTATCAACATGGCTCAGAACCTGGCCAAACTTACAACAGTGAACTATATATCACATTCACATTACTTTCAATATCAACAAAACAAATGAGACTCAGGCTCATATCAAAACACTTCATACTTCCCATTTGATACACATTTTAGTGCTGTATCAATAACATGTAAAAACACTTCAATATAATAAGCACACATAAAAATGGTGCTAATGGAGTCCATCCCCTATCTCCTCCCAAACAAAATCCGGTTTAGAGGTCCATCCCCTATCTTCCCCTAAACCGTGGAGTACATCCCCTATCTCCTCCCAAACAAAATCCGGTTTAGAGGTCCATCCCCTATCTTCCTGAAATTAATTATACAAATTAATTTATTATTACAACTAGGGTTTTTCCCAAAATTACCAAAGCATTTCCAACATATCAAAATACCAAAACTTAGAACAAAACTTATAAGATGGAGTAGGAAATCCCTACCCTTGAAGAAAAGAACTCGAATGGAGAAGATGACGAAAACCAAGGTGCTCCAAACCCACGATTGTTCAGATTAAACGGAAGCCCTTGACCCTCTCTATCTTTTTAACAAAGGACTTAGGGTAGAAATACACTCTAAGTAGATCAAACCTAAGAGAGAAGGTGTGTAGGGAGAGGGAGAAGACGGTTCTAGGGTTTTAAAATAAAAAAGGAGATGAAAAACGATCCAGAAAGTCGGATCACGGATTTTTATACCAGTCGCCCCGCTCGAGCGTGGAAACCCCCGCTCGAGCGCCACTCACAGACTCCCGCTCGAGCGGCCAAACTCCCGCTCGAGCGGCGAATGCACTCTCCCAGAAGTTTTTGCAGACAGGTCCCCGCTCGAGCGCCCAACTCCCCGCTCGAGCGTCACTCACGACTTCCCGCTCGAGCGTCCAATCCCCCGCTCGAGCGGCCAACACTACACAGGACATACTGGATGGGTGTATTCCCCGCTCGAGCGGACAAGCCAAAATCTGGGCAACTAGACTTTGTTCCTAAGCTCAACCAACCTGCTCCAAATCTTCCCAACACAACCAAAGACTCAAAATAAGAAAATAATGAATGACAACAACAATTATACAATGACGGAATCTGCGGAACCTAAGTCCGAATACAATAATCAAATGGGAAAAGACCGGGGTCTCTATAAAGGGAGTGCATTTTACTAATTTTGTTATTGTACTTTATCTATTACAATGATATATATATACAAACTCAGAGTTTTCCCTGACAAATATATATATATATATATATACTAGTTTAAAAAGGTTCGTGTAAAACAGGGATTATTATTATAGTGTATTTAAGTTTAATATTGTAATAATTTTAAAAAAATTAAAATATTATTCAATGAAATTGAATAGAATAAATTATTAGATATATGATAGAATTATGTGATATGATATGTATTATTTTTTGATTTATTATACATCTAATGATGTAGACTCCAATTCTATTACCATATCATTTTGGGTAAATTTATGAGTCTCGAACATTTCTTCCGAATTTTTTTTTAAAAAAAAAAGTATGTATGGTGTGTAACTTTTCTCAACAAATAAAATATAAAACAAATACTAAGATAACTCTTTCATCTAAAAAAAATTACTAAAATAATTCACTGAACTAATAAAGAAGCAAAATAAAATACATACACATATACAAATAACTAATTTTATTAATACATAAATCATACTCGTTTAACAAATGAGCAATTTTATTAATAAATAAATCAATAAGTAAATTAATAATTTTTAATGATATCAAAAATATTTTGCAATCAACCATTTTGTTAATAAATAAATCATTAAGTCAATTAACAGTTTTTGAAGATATGAGAAATATTTTTTTTTTATTCACCCAAAAAAAAAAGAAATATTTTTCAATAAACAATTTTGATAATTTATTATTGTATAAGAGAATATTTTTTTTCTCCTGAATATTGTATCAAATTAAAATTTATAACAAACAATAGTTGTAATTTATAATATTATAGAACCGATTCATATTTTAAACAAACCTTATGGGTGTATTTGTAATTTGTTAAAAAAATAAAAGATTTATGTTTCATAATTGACCAAGAATGTTTGCGTTATTACGAAAAAACCTGTTTCATAATTGATCAAGAATGTTTGTGTAATTACGGAAAAACTGTTGCATAATTAACCAAGAAAGTTTACGTAATTATAAAAAAAAAAACTTTCATTCAACATATAGGACACCTTTAGTAAATTATTCAAAATAAAAGGGTAAAATTGGGATGAAAAAAAAAGAGGCGAACCTTAAGCAGCTAAGCGGTTCTTATATCTATACTAGTTTTAGAAGGCTCGTGCAAGGCACGGGTCATTATTACAGTATATTTAAGTTTTGTATTTTGATAATTTTTTAAAAATTAAAACATTATTATATGAAGTTGAATAGAAATATAATAGAATTATGTGGTTTGATATGTATCATTTTCTGATTTGTTGTACATCCAATAATGTAGATTTCAATTCTATTACCACATCGTTTTGGGTGAATTTATGACTTTTTAACATTTCTTCTAAATTTATAAATAAATAAATAAATAAGGTGTGTAGCTTTTCTCAACAGATGAATATAAAATAAATACGAAGATAATTCTCCCATCTAAAAAAAACTATTAAGATAATTCATTGAACTAATAAAGAAGTATAAGAAAATATATATATATATATATATACAAATAACTAATTTTATTAATACATAAACCATACTCACATAAAAAATGACCAATTTTATTAATAAGTAAATCATTAAGTAAATTAACAATTTTTAATGATATGAAAAATATTTTTTAGTTAACTATTTTTGTTAATAAATAAATCATTAAGTCAATTTACAATTTTTAATTATACGAGAAATATTTTTCAATAAACAATTTTGATAATTTATTATTGTATAAGAGAATTGGTTTTTTTTTTTTTTCCTAAGTATTGTGTTCAATGAAAATTTATAACAAACGGTAATTGTAATTTTTAATATTATAGGACTGATTCATATTTGAAACAAACCTAATGGGTGTATTTATAATTTGTTAAAAACTAAACGATTTATGTTTCATAATTGACCAAGAATGTTTACGTAATTACGAAAAACCTGTTTCATGATTGACCAAGAATGTTTGCGAAATTACGAAAAAAACCTGTTGCATAATTGACCAAAAATGTTTGCGTAATTACAAAAAAAAACTTTCACTCAACATATAGGTGTTATTTGAAAAAATATTCACTCTGTTTGTTTTCAGTTTTTTGAAAATACTTTTCAGAAAATTCTACTTTCTTGTTTTCTGTATTTTTTTTTTTTACTGAATTTTTTTAATATTTTAAGAAAATGTTTTAATTTTTAGATATACCTAACATAAATACACTTAAAACGTATAATTTTTGTGAAAAAAAAAATCTTTAAAAAAATTACTAAATACCAAAAATACAAAAAAATACAAAAAATCAATATATTTTTCATATTTTTTTGTATTTATTAAATTTTTAAAATGTTTGTCAACAAATATTTTACTTTTTATATACATCTAAGTAAGGTGTATCTAAAAAAGTTAAAAAAAAATGCTTAAATTTTTAAAAATATTCACTTAAAACGAAAAACAAAAAACTCAATTTTCAAAACACTGAAACCAAATACACTGATTATTAGTTGGTTCAAAAATATCACGTGATTATATTTTTAATTAATCACAAATTACTATATTCTGTCATATTTTTTAATCATTTTACACAAAATCGTGAGTCTTATCCCCTCCACCAATTGCAATATATAGCATCACGTGAAGCTGCTCTTGGACCAACCAATAACTTCTCGTTATTTAGTAGCTTTTGCTCCATTACTTCACACCACTCAGGCTCGTTTGTTTGGGCAAATAATATTTTTAAATTAAAAATATTTTTTATGAAAATTTTGTTTTCAAAGAATATATTCGGAAGAAAATATTTTTTTTATATTTGGTGTTGGTGGTGGTAGTGGTGGTGGTGAAACAAAAGTGAAAGTGGAGGTGGTGATATGATAGTGGGGCTGTGACAATGGTAATAGCAACAGTAATGGTGACAGTGATAGTGATGTGATAGTGGAGGTGAGAGTGTCAATGATAGTATAGTGACATTAGTAAATTTTAGTCCATAAAATATTTATTACCTTTTAAAAGTAGAAGATATTTTAGTAAATTTTAGTCCATAAAATATTTTTTACCTTTTAAAAGTAGAAGATATTTTCTGTCAATATAAACTTATTTTTTTATTGATTATAAAAAAATATTTTCATTTAACTTTCATTTTTTATTAGGATAAAGTTTGAGAGCTCTAAATATAGAGCTCTAGAGGAGCTCTAATGAGCTGGCCGCCACTCATGATGTGGTGTTTGTGCCTTGTTTTTTATTTTATTTTATTATTATTATTATTATTATTTTTGCTTTACCAGATCACCAGAGCTCAAATTAGAGCTCTAGATTTAGAGTTCTGTATCATTTCTCTTTTTATTATACCAAATATCAAAAAATATTTATAAAAAAAGAAAAAGAAAAAAGGTTTTTCACCCAAACAAAATTTCAGAGTAACTCAAAAAAGTTAAACAAATAAAAAACTATTTAAATAGATAGTCAAAAAAAATTAAACAGATAGCTTAAAGGATAAAATTGAAAATAAAATGTCATCCAAAAATAAAAAATAGACTTCTTATCAAACTATTTTACAAAAAGATGAATCTCTTACCAATAAAAAATATTTACTAAATCTAATACAGTAGACAATTATTAGATAGAACTTTTCAATAAATTTCCCTTTTTTTTTTTTTTTTAATGAATTGTCTATAGTCTTGCACTTGGCAATCGTTCAAATTCCGCCTCTCTCAATCAACAATTCCTCTTCCTCTGTTTTGGCAAAAAAAAATTTAGTGGTTTTTTGAAAAGTTGGTAAAAAATTAACTTTTTAATTTTTTGGCTTTATTTGTGATTTTTTTGGCAAAAAGTTGGCTTTTTTTGGGTAAAAAAGCTGATTTTTTTGACTAAAAAAATTAAAAAGTCAAAAAACTGAGTCTTTTAACCTCTTTCCTTAGTTGGCTTTTTGGAATTAGGACCTTTTTAGTTTGGGATTAAAAAGTTCGTTTAACAAATTTTTTATTTTTTATTTTTTTGACTTTTGTAAGAGAAAGTGAAATGATTATGATTTGAATGTAATATTTTATCTTATTGACTTATTTAGGGGTTGTTTGGGATGACCTAAATAAGTGTACTTTTTGTCTTTTTATGAAAAGATGTGCATAAAAATAGAGAGGTGGTGTAATGGAAAAAAGATAAAAAGATGGATTATTTTTGGGTTGCCAAACTTGGCCTTAGTTTATTTTACCTTTATCTATTTTTAGGCCAAGTTTGACAAGTTGTCAAAAAGTCAAAAAGTCAAAAAGTTACTCAAAAAGTTAAAAAGTTATCACTATTCACCAAAATTCAAAAATTACGGCTGCACAACTCCCAATCCTAATTTTTCCCTACACACTAATTTATACAATTTTTAATACACATTTTTTCATAAAAAGTCAAAAAGTTAACCCAAGCATTCATATTTTTTTTCTTAATTTTTTAGTCCAATAAGATAAAAAGTATACTTATTTAGGACACCCCAAACAATCCCTAAATAAGACATAAAAGTCGTGGGATCAATTGTTTTAGCCAATCAACTGTCACATTGCTTCACACCACTCAATAGACACGTGTGCTGATGTCTTCACAAATGAGACGTAAAAGTGGTGGGTTCAATTGTTTTTACTATTCAAATTTAAATTGGAGCATCACATAGAATCGTTCTCGTATACTTCATCCAATAGGGTGTTATTATTGCTTTAAATTATGGAATTTATTATATTTGTTTTAAATTTTTAAGAGATAAAAAGTTTTGTATTAGAATTTTAAGATACAAGATATTATGTGTTAATTTATAAATGAAATAGAGTAATGTTCAAAGAGTATTAAATAATTTCTCTTGCGACAATTGACTAGAGTTGTGCAAAACATACACATTTTCATGAGAAGTTATTTAGTAGTCATGAACATGGCCATTGGCTATATCCTAAGAATGTTGTGATTGATTAAGGGGATACAACTGATAATTTTGTATTAGGACATGAATGAAAAGCATGACACATAATATTTGATAATTGGTGGATAACATAATCACATGGTATGCTAAAGGCAACGAATAATTTTACCATTTTGATGGTTTAAAATTGTGAACCCCACTTATGCTGTGTTTGGTTGGAGTTTTTGAGGTGGGATTTGGAAAAGGAATGAGAAATGTAATCCTATTTATGTTTGGTTATAATAAAAAATATATGGGAAAAGAAAGGGGGTGAGAAATAAATAAAGAAATAGGATACCTTTTAGGACATCAATTCTATTTTATAACCAACACAACCAAACATAGTTGAGATTTGGAATTCTATTAATTCTTTCTTCTTTTCCTTTCATTTCCATTTCCCTTTCCATTTCCCTTTCCAAATCCCCCAACCAAACACAGCGTTAGAGAAAATATATAATGATTTTCAAGCAAATTTATGGGACGTCCTAACTTATTTTTTATTGACTAAAACAGTAATTCTAAATATTTTGTAATCATTTTTGAGAGACAACAATAAAATGAATAGTGCAGAGTATTATTCTAAAATTACGAAATAACTTTCTCCAAATTTGAATGGATGAACATATTCTTTAGATGAGTTTACGGTTTTAGACGACTAACCCAATAAAAAAGATGGTATTATTTTCACACAGCCTGACAAATTCATTTCCACATACACAGAACAAAACCATTAATTCAAATGAAGTTCCCACAAATAGCTGACATGCAACAACTTCAAATTCAGCCAAGAAAACCCAAAGCTCAAACTATGCATATACCAACCAACTAATGGACACAACAAGTGCAGAGCAGCCAAGTAAATCAGTTTATAACTTTGGTCTAGCAATTTTATCTGAATGGCACTACACGTCTATACAAATGGCCTTTCAGTCGTTGGCCAAATTTTTAAATTAAATATTTTGGCTAAATTACACTCAATTATCTTGATTTTTAAAGAAAATATAATAAATCCTATGACTTCCCTTTTAATTGTTTAATCTACCTTAGAACTGCATCAGCCATTGCGCGGCTACGCGGTATGACCTGAAAGTGATCATTCAAGCCAAAATGTGCCATGAGAAGCCAGACATGAGTATGAAACTCCCCTCCTCGTCTCAATTGTTGAGCATGATATCTTCCACTGCATTGGCTAGCTGCATGACACAACATTTCCATCCATACTGCATCTATTATTTCCCATCTATTATCTCTCAAACCAAGTAGTGATGCTAGCTTACACCCATGCAGTATCACAGAATTGCTCCTCTCCAGTTTCTTCTGTCCATACTTTTGAAGCAGCATATCAACTATTCTTCTAGGGTCTTTCTTCTTCTGTTGCTTCTGGATGCTTCTGCTGGCGGCTGGTGGTGGCAGTTTCAACCACCACCAACAGCGGCCGCTTCTTCTGGACTCTGCCGCTGGCTGCTGGCTGCCACCGCTGCCACTGCCACTGGCGTGGCTACTAGATGTGGCGTCTAGATCCTCCTTGTCCTCGTTCGCATCCCCGGCCTCGTCCTCCGAATCTCCCTCCTCAATTAACTCTCTTGGCCTGGGATAATTGTCCCTGATGACCTCCTTTTCAAGGAAGTCCCCTAGTCCGGCATAAATGTCCCGGAACTTGATGTGTGCCATCCCAAGTGGCAACATATAAGGATGCTCGACTAGCAGGTAAAGCATATATCGTGACAAACAATTGCCTATTTCATTAGGTTCGCGATCTTGGTAGTACATGATTTCTGTAGCAAGGTGCCAAGTAAGAATACTCTGGTCGAACTCCAATTCGACACTCCACTCAAGATCATGATCATTGAACCATTCTATTGTGCGGCCTCCCCTCTGCCCGTATATAGCTTTAAGATTTGTGTCGTAGCCATACCTTTCCGTCCATCGCCTAACACTGTCAAGGATATCTTTGAAGATTCTGCCTCTTAAATCAACTTTGCTGAGTGATATAGGAGTATTCTTGTATTGGATAGTATCTAGAAATTCTTCAATGCCTAGCATTTTTTGGACTCTAAGGCAGGGGAGGGGGTTTTCTCTCGAGGCAAATTTTAGCAGACTAAACTGAGCAATGGAATTCGACCACCTCCGTTTTGGAATCGCCCAATTAGTTAGTGGTGAATGTGAAATGCACTTGATTACTCGTAAGATGGTGGTATTCTTACGCTTAATTAACCAATAAGCAGTTTGGTCGGAGAGAATTAGTTGCAGAAATGCCCATAACTCCACGAGAAGAGCGGCCGCCAACAATACCAAAGTTATGGTACGGTCAATCTTGGAGTGGTGGCGATGTTTCTCTGTGATTAGTATTATCTCATGCAAAGATACCATCAGCAATACAATGAGGGTCAGAAATATTCCGATGAATCGTCCAGCAATGCCCCAAGCAGAGTAGACTATCTTTGCCTTTGTGTAGCGCAAATCATATATAAGCCCTAGTTCAATCTCAATTATCCTGAATGCCTTGCTCGCAGACATGGCATGGTTTGCGAAGATTGACCAGGTTGCATACCCATCTTGAAAGCCAATTACAAGATCTGCAAAGAGACGCTTGACCATCTCAAGAAACCCATATGCTGCAAGTAATTCGTTTCCATAAGGAACACATTCAAGTGATGATGATGGAATATTATTGGTTAAATGATTCGGCACGTCAACCTCAAGAGTTTGATGTGGTGTGACATGGTACCCCTCCATTTGCTTCAATCTACATTCCTCCACAACCTTGGATTCACTAGAAGGGATATCTGGAATCGAGTCCCTAAATTTGTTGTCACTTGCCCAATATAGAACCCACACTCTTTTCACCGTACTTGACAAGCCCAACATAGAACATTACAACAAAGAGTAGGGAAAATAGAGAGCTTGTCCAAGCCAAAACGAAGATGTACATTGTGGTCATTGCTTGGGCAACTACTCCAAATGAGTGCCTTTTCCACAACTCATTGTCTTCCAAGGAGTAAGCAGTAATTGCATCTGTGCCACCCAAGTGTAACAACATCATTGGAGCCCAAAATGCTAATAGCTCATACTCTGGACCAAAAGAATCCTTCCTGCAGATGTCTCCAAGATTATTTGAGAGTATTCCAGCGGCCATTATCGCTACCGAATCGGCGAGTAAGTAGGCCGTCCAAACAATGATTCTGATCCATGTTCCGGCAATATACTTTCTACGATTGCCCAGAATGACAAGAACTATTTGGGTAGTGAGGCTAAGTAGAATCATTACTCGCAATTCCCATTCCTTCCACAGTTGCCTCAAACTTGGAGGAATGGACTCCATCGTCCTCCTCTTGTTCATTATAATCATACTGCCAACAACTGATCAAAAACTCATATGCATCAGTTACTAAATGCAGAAAGAAAAAGGAAAGAAAATACGTAGTGTAGATGAAATGTGAAAAAATTGATGGTTAATGAAGGGGATAATGATTCTGCAACATGAATCTAACAGCATGGTGATTACCAAAATCTGTTCTATTATATTAGTACCTGCTTGCAACAACATCATCGGTTTGCTTCCAGAATAGCTGAAAAATGCAACCTTTTTTTGTCAAATGGGTGCTTTCTGAACGATATGATTTCTTTTGTGATTTGGTGTTTAGCTGTGGAGAGAGAAAGAATGAATCCCGACTGAGACTAGGCTCAGTAGCCAGAGGCAGTTGACCAAGAATGTTTGCGTAATTATGAAAAAATCTATTTTATGATTGACTAAGAATGTTCATTTAATTATGAAAAAACTTATTGCATAATTGACCAAAAATGTTTGTGTAATTATAAAAAAAACCTCCACTCAACATATAGGCCACCATTAATAAATTATCAAATGAAAGGGCAAAATCGGAAAGAAAATACGAACCTCAAGCAATTAGGCGGTTCTTATATATATAGATATATAGATAAACCACAAGGGGGTTTGCCTAGTGGGTGACGGCTGAGACCTGGAGGTTTGCTCCCTCCCAGGTCTCAGGTTTGAATCTCTTAGCCAGCAAACACATACTTTGGGGCCACGGACCACAAGGCGTAAGCCTAGTGATCCCAGTTTTGCCACTTCACTGAGTATGTCAGGGATCAAACTGCCCGGTCAGCTCGCGGGGGTCTAGAGGGCAACGCCCCTGGGCGGGTCCAAGGGTAACGCCTCAGGTTTGAATCTCTTAGCCAGCAAACACATACTTTGGGGCCACGAACCACAAGGCGTAAGCTTAGCGATCCCAGTTTTGCCACTTCACTGAGTATGTCGGGGATCAAGCTGCCCGGTCAGCTTGCGGGGGTCCAAGGGGCAGCGCCCCTTGGCGGGTCCTAGGGTAGCGTCCTGGCGGGGTTAAGGGGTAGCACCCTCAAAGCAAAAATGCAAAATACATTAGAAGTTGCTTGTCCGCTCGAGTGGCCGTTTATGCGTTCGAGCGGAGAATGTTTGGTTCTAGACGTTTGGCATGTCTGCAAAAGTACTAGGAAAGTGTATTTGAAGCTCGAGCGGGGCTTTCCACGCTTGAGCGGACCATGTATTATATCAGTTCGTAAATCGGATATTTCAAATCACTTTTGTATATCTCTGTCTCTAAAAACATTTCATCTCCCTTCTCTCTACATTTCCCTATGCCAAATTGGATCAAAACCTTGATTTCTCAAGATCCATTAATGTTCTGCCATGGGTTCTTCATCAAAGTTGGTTAACTTCTGAAGATCGAGTTTCGACACCGTTGATTTTGGGAGTTTCATCTCATTTCTTCTTCAGAACTTGAGGTAGGGATTTTCTTAGAGTTATATATATATATATATTTGCAAGATATATATGATTTTCGAAATCATCTTTCGATAGCTTTGAAATTGATTGTTGATTCAAGAAGTTGAGCGATTTTGAAAGTGGGTTTGTCTCTTATTCTTTCAGAATGATCTTATGAGTTTTGATCTTCGTTGATTGATGAAAAGATGATTTTGGAAAGTTTTCTTTCAAAAGATTTGAGTTGTATAGTTTTGGTGAGAAAACTTAGAATTTGGGAATTTTTTTTAAAGAGACTGAAAATCCATGAATGATATTGTTATATTTATTTTGTGTGTCAAAATAAATGGATGTTTGGAAAATTTCTTGTTTACATTTATATAAATGATGAATTTCAGGGAATATGAGAATTGTTGTTCATTTTGAAAATTATTGTTCAAAACGTTGAAATAGTCTTAAAATGACTAATTGTTGAGGATACTTGAGAACAGGGAATTGTTTTATTCCTTGGATGATAAAGTAGAATAAAAGTATTTATATTCATCTTGTGTTATTGGCATATCAATTCATTTGATTACATTAAACTTTGAAAGTTGATTTGAAAACTAGTATTGAGAAAAGAATGTTGATAAACAAGTTTTCATGGTATGATTTTGGAGTAAATACGTTGGTAAGTCTTGATAGGTGATGTAGATGATATTGAATAAGTTGGCCTGAGAGTCCGGCGTGAAAGACCGAAAACCTACGCGGATAGGTGTCGAGCCTTCCGGTTAATACCGGTAAAAATGAAAATTTGGTAGTACTTATATAGTCTACTTGTAGACACCGACCTAGGGATTACCAGAGTCGTATTTACCGCCCTTGAAATAAATTGTTAAGTTTTGAACAATTGAAATTGCATGGTATTATTGAGCATGATGGTTTTTAAAAAATGAAAATGTGATTTATCTTCAAAAAGGGCATAGCATGGCATGTGCATTTCATCTATTGAGACTTGTATAAAATGTATATACTTTGTTAAGGATTTCCTCCTGGGCTTTATGCTCACCCTACGGGATTTTTGTGCAGGAAAAGATGTGGTGATGCCGCCTAACTAAAGGCGAGAAAATGTGTGTTGAGAGTACAAGACTCTCATTTTGCTGTGACTTTGTGTATAAGCCAAGGGCTGTATGTGTGTAGATTTGAATAACCGTTTTGTGTAACTAGGCTCAAGCTTTGGAAACTTGTAAACCCTTGAGGGTATTTATTTGTTTATTTATTCGTTGTTGGATTAATGTACTGTTGCATAAAGAACTATTGTATCATGTAATGTAAGTTTGGAGATTTATATTCGGTCTTTCCTTGAAAGAGCCATGATTGTTGTATTATCATTTGGGCCACAAATTTGGGCCGTTACAAAGCCTATTTTAGAAGGCTTGTTCAGTCTGCAGGGACTTAGTTTGGTGCACGTAAGCTGACCCAAGATACTCTACATAACACAAAATATATATATATATATATATACATAACACAATATATATATATATATATATATATAGATATAGATTTAAAAAAAAAAGTTTAAAATAAATAAAAATATTTTGACATATGTAAAAATTATATTGAAATTGTAAATATTTTGATAATTCTAAAATAGTTCTAAGAGTTGTCAATAATTTTAATATATCTTTCACATATTTTAATATATTTTTTACTTATTTTAATATAATTTTTATATAATTTTCAACACTAATAAAAAATTTAAAATTTATTCTTTTAACAGTTTTTAATATATAAATTAATTGGGGGGGGGGAAGAAACTAGGTCTCCAAAGCAATCTACACAACCACTAAGAAATCACCAGAAGTAGAGGGTAAGTGAAGAAAGCAATTCAATTCACAAGGGTGAGACCCAGGTTCGAACCTTAAGGGTGTAAAAATGGCTGACTTTCAACTGGTTCTCTTTCAGATTTCGTATTGTATTCCGATCAATCTTAGATTCTTCTATGATGTGTGACTGAATTTTATTAGTGTCTCCGTAATAGATCCATTTTTATGAGTTAAATTAAATCTAATTCATCCCAAGACCAAAACTTACAGATTCAATGACGACACACAAAGCATCTTTTTTGTCGGTGCAAAAAAAATGATAAAAAATTAAAAAATTCATAGCCACGCAAAAGGACAAAAAGCTCACTCCCACAGGCTTTGAGAAAGAAATCAAGTCCTCTAGGACTAGGACAATGCCCCATTTGTGTCCATCTTTGAATTCAACCCCACTTTACTGAAATGAGTAGGTGAAGCCAGGTAACCCTTGGAGCAAGGATTCTCTCCTTGAATTCTCTTCTTGGCTCTTTATATGGTGAGTTATTGGGCTCACTTTTGGGTCTAATGTCGATGATCTGAACCATTCACATTTTAAGATTTGTCATGTATATCATACTTATAAAAAATCAAATTGATCGGATATCGGAAGAACTAAAAATCTAAAAGTTTTATTAAACAATAAGATTGTTTATTAAATTTTTTTTAATAAACGATTTTTAGTTCTTCCGATATCCGATCAACTTGATTTTTTACCTGTATGATATACATTACAAATCCTAAAATGTGAATAGTTCGAATCATCAAAATTGGGTCCAAAAGTGGGCTCAATAGCCTACCAAGTAGGGAGCCAAGGAGAGGATCCTTGCTCAGAATGTTGTCGGTAGTTAACAAACAACCAAATTACTAACAAGTTAATTACATGAAAGGGTAATTTATGTATATAAATTGAGCCGAGCTAAGTCCATCAATCTTAGACATTGGGCCTAGCTATGGGCCGAGGTGAGAGCTTGGATAGCCCGATCCTAGGCCATCCAAACCCCAAGCCAAGCAAAGATATGTCACTGGGGCCTTGACCTAGCTATCTAAAGCTAAGTCGTGTAGCGGACCGAGGTGTTACCAAGGAAGAGGACCGAGCTAAGTGTAGCTCGGTAGTGCGCCATCTTGCAGTTAGGGCTACCACGGTTCTGCCCAGAGCAACGCAGAGCCGTGCTAGCTTGGTTGATCGTAGCGCCAACTGAGGTAAAAGGTTGGTTGGTAATGAAAAGAGTGTTCTAAGGATAGGCATTATCCTTAGTAGTGTGATTTCTGGGAGGACTCTGCAAGGAAGAGTTAGAGTCCTACTAGGATTGTGCCAAGAAGAATCTATAAAGGCTCATGACAGAACCTATGGAGAGGTATTACAATTCTTACTCAAAAATACATAGAGCTTGTTGTTTATTATTTACTTGTTAACTTAGACATCGGAGGGGTTTCTGGCACACACCCACTGGCTAGCTCACGTGTGTTTTCAAATAACAAAACGGCAACATTTAGAGGAATACAAACTTGATCAACATAATTATATAAAAAGAATATTTCATGCTCGTACACTACACTTGGAGCTAAAAAACACTTACTGGCTGTTGTTGTAAATTCATGTATGACACTAGTGTTGGGTATACCTCCTTATTGGAGTGTGGAACCCAATTGGTTTAGTAAAAGAGTTTCAATTTAACTTGATTTAGGTATAATATATTTTTATATATTATATTTGAGGAAACCCAATCCAATTTAGATACAATTAGGTTTTTGATTACAAAACCCTAGATTAACAATATATATATATATATTGTTTAGTGTGTGCCGTAGGTGGTGAGATAGATTGGAAAATCAATTAGTGGAATTAAATTGGTGATGGTGTGTGTTGGCTGCCGAATTAACACACTGCTTCGGTAACAGTGCTTGAAATTGGTGGAGTTATTTCATTCGGTTTGTTGCTGTTTGGAGCATAGTTTTGGTTCGTTATTTTGGGTCTTCTTCAACTCTGGTTCAGAAGATTTTGGTTCATCTATTTGGTGAGGTCTTTCCTCTTTGTTTATTTGTGATTATTTGGAATTCACCTAAGGGTGATTTTGTGAGACCATTAGTGTCTCGTTTG